CTCGTGTAGCTTTGCGCGAAATCCATAACAAACAAACAAACAATTCCGTACATCGTAGTACGTAAACTCACGGAGGGAGAAAGAATTTCCTTAAATAATAAAAGGTATATAATAGTGAACTTCGTTTGGATGAAACAAAAAACAATAACGAATCCCCAAACAGTGGAGCGTGTCTAGTCTGCTCTGCTCCAACGTTGCAACAAGCTAGTAGCTATCATTGCCGCTACGATATTACGTGTTGCTTGCTGTTGCTACAACAACAAACGTACTTTGTAAGATTTACTTTCCGATATATTTTCTTCAAGCTGATACATTCTCCAAATTTCTGTCGTTACTTTTATGCATCTGCTTTGGAGGTCCGTGTTTTCCGTTCAGCGGAGCGTTAATTTACTCGATCTCCGGGAATTACAAATTACCTAACGCTTCACAACATTTGTTACGGCGGTTTTGTCTCGTCTGGCGCTCGTCCTAAATTCGGTTGAAGCACTGCGGCTCCACTCCACGGATACGTTAAAATTCTCGGTTCTCTTCGAAAGGGAATCCCAAATCGAGTTCCGTGTCTGTGTCAAGCGAACCGCGACTCGCGCCCAAGCTCGTGGCGGTAAATCGGCGGTGTTATCTCTTACATAGAAAACTTCGTAACGTTATTACTTATTCACACTTAAGTTATGAGGAGCTTGTTACAAGTGTACTGCTTTTAAGCTGTTGTTAAACAAGTAACTCTAATATTAACATGTTAATATTGCCGAGTAGCTTTAACTGGTTTCGTATCATTTTCCGGGCTCTACTTGTAACCTTTTTTTTTTTTTAAAATGTCCCGGATTCGACTAAAAAAATGTCCGGTTTCGACTAATAAATTCTAACGGATTAAAACAAACAACAACTCCGGAACCTATTTCAGGGCATTTTCAATGAGAAATTATAGATTCCATGCTGGAAATACGTTTATGAAAATTTGATCCTGTATTTATATTAATTGCTTCATACTCATGCGCACTGCTGTACTGGATTCCCCTTCAATTGATAACAATATATATATAAGATTTATCTTAATTAGTCAACATTTTCCTGACTCCTTTCTTGCAATCGAGCTGAAATACAGCTATGACTGATTGATAGTAAAGTACGGTTTATTGTTGCCGTATTAACAATGTATTTCGTAATGTAACTAGTTGAAACCTTCGTCACAGGTCCAGATTTTCTACTCCATCCGTTCAGAAAACCGAAGAGGATCCGAACGGCCTTCTCTCCTTCCCAGCTGCTCAAGTTGGAACACGCTTTTGAAAAGAGTCATTACGTGGTTGGAGCTGAGAGGAAACAGTTAGCTCGGAGTCTCGATCTCACAGAAACTCAGGTGAGTTACTAGCTCTGTCTCACAGAAACTCAAGAGAGTTACTAGCTCTGTCTCACTGAAACTCAGTAAAGTTACTAGCTCTGTCTCACTGAAAACTCAATAGAGTTACTAGCTCTGTCTCACTGAAACTCAATAGAGTTACTAGCTCTGTCTCACAGAAACTCAAGAGAGTTACTAGCTCTGTCTCACTGAAACTCAATAGAGTTACTAGCTCTGTCTCACAGAAACTCAGGTGAGTTACTAACTCTGTCTCACAGAAACTCAGATTCAGATTCAGTTAGTTAGTCTAATAGTAAGATAGACTCGTTGAAGTTAATAGTTTAGTATCAAACTGCTGTAACTTAACATAACTAACTCTAAATAAATATAGGGGAACGAATAACAAAATCTGCAGAAACTCGAGTGAGTCGGTATTTAGTTTTACAGAAGTTCTGGTGAGTCGTATTGTTAAATCCACAGTAATTCTGGCAAGATCATCACATACAAAGTTTAAAGACTGACGTACTCAGAATCGTAGTTGTTCAGTGTAGGAACTGAAATTAGAACTTTCAACCCGAACGGCACCAGGTCAGAAATCCCTACGATTCAGGTACACCGATCCGTAGTTTGAACTACTGACCAGAGGAAAGCCGACAGCAGCTCTCGCCAACACAATAGATTTTGTTCAACTCTTTGAATAGGATAACGCAATTGGTAATTTCCTAACGCACCCACAGCCGAAATACAGAGTGTGTTCAATGACTTCACATCTGGCACTCTGAACCTTTCAATCCGCAGCCCTAGTAGGCCACGCTCGGTTTTCCTTAGTGTTACAGACGTATTCTATGAAGCAGTCGGTCTGTATCACAGGCGAATGTTAATGAACCAGAGCTAAGCTATTTTTAAACAATGCAGCTAATTATTGTGTTTCTGCTTTAATGGCTCCAACAGTATTTAATTTTATATGATAAAACACGCTTTATTTTTGCCCACACTCATAGTGATGGGGCTCATTCCCCGTTCCTGAGGTTCACACTCATCTCCCTGATTATCCTAAAGAAATCCCACCAGTGGGAATTGAGGACCGACACCCAGTGAACTTAAATCACTATTGTGTCTACATCTGTATTATATATACGTATGTGTGTTTAATGGACCAAATACGCGTCGCAATTCAGAAAGTTATGGATATTACACTTACTGTCATAGACTCCATTACAATAATTAAATCAAAACTACACATCATCAGGAGTAACTTCTTAATGTTTACATGCATTACTCCATTACAATACTTAAATCAAAGCTATATATCATTAGGATTAACTTATTAATGTTTGGGTGCATTACTCCAGTACAATAATTAAATCAAAACTACACATCACCAGGAGTAACTTCTTAATGTTTGGGTGCATTACTCCATTACAATAATTAAATCAAACCTATATATCACCAGGATTAACTTGTTAATGTTTGGGTGCATTACTCCATTACAATAATGAAATCAAAGCTATATATCATCAGGAGTAAATTGTTAATGTTTGAGTGCATTACTCCAGTACAATTAATTAAATCAAAGCTACACATCACCAGGAGTTTATGGTACTTGAACGACAGTAATGTATTTGTGTCCGTGAAAAAAAAAAAAAAAGAATAGAGGGAAGTTCTAATGTAAGAATTTTACTCCTGATGATGTGAAGCTTTGATTTAATTAATTGTAATGGAGTAATGCACCCAAACATTAACAAGTTACTCCTGATGATGTGTTGCTTTGATTTAATTAATTGTAATGGAGTAATGCAACCAAACATTAACAAGTTACTCCTGATGATGTGAAGCTTTGATTTAATTATTGTAATGGAGTAATGCATGTAAACATTAAGAAGTTACTCCTGTTGATGTGTAGCTTTGATTTAATTAATTGTACTGGAGTAATGCACTCAAACATTAACAAGTTACTCCTGATGATGTGAAGCTTTGATTTAAGTATTGTAATGGAGTAATGCATGTAAACATTAAGAAGTTGTACTGTACAAAAACCCAAACCAAACTTATGGTGTCTTATGAACGTTGTACTGTACAAAAACCCAAACCAAACTTATGGTGTCTTATGAACGTTGTACTGTCCAAAAACCCAAACCAAACAACGTTCATAAGACACGTAACTCATCACGGAATTGTCTGATTGATAGCGAATCGAAACATATGTTTACTTAAACCTGATGTTAACTGAGATCAATGACGTAACAGTTCAACGTTTTCACACGAGACAATTGCTTCCAATAAGAGACATAGGAAGGGTTTGTCATATTATTAAACAAATTGAAAGTTGCAGGTAAAGCTTCTGACTAGTGGTTTTATTTCTTGTAATTAAACTAATTGCAAGTTGCAGACATCAGTTCTGTAAATTCAGTCTTAACGCTGCCACTTGACTCGGAAAATCAGACTTTGTTCGATCCATGAAGAATTTTGTTATTGCTAATGAACTTTAAATAAACTATCAATATTTCGTTTTGAGTTTATTTACTGATTTGTTTAACACGATTTGGATCACATGTATACAAAAAAGTTAACACTATTTGGATCACATGTGCACATAAAATTTAACATGATTTGGATCACATGTATACATAAAAGGTAACACGATTTGGATTACATGTATACATAAAAGTTAACACGATTTGGATCACATGTGCACATAAAACTTTAACACGATTTGGATCACATGTATAAATAAAAGTTTAAGATGATTTGGATCACATGTATAAATAAAAGTTTAAGATGATTTGGATCACATGTATAAATAAAAGTTTAAGATGATTTGGATCACATGTATAAATAAAAGTTTAACATGATTTGGATCGCATGTATACATACAAGTTTAACATGTTTTGGATCACATGTATACATCCAAATCATGTTAAACTTTTATCACATGTATACATAAAAGTTTAACATGATTTGGATCACATGTATACATAAAAGTTTAACATGATTTGGATCACATGTATACATAAAAGTTTAACATGATTTGGATCACATGTATACATAAAAGTTTAACATGATTTGGATCACATGTATAAATAAGAACACTAATCACGGGTTCTTTTAAACAGCCGTGTTTCTGGAATGCATTGAAAACAATGCTCAAGCCTGAGTGATTTCCACCTCCTAAGGAGTCATGCTTGCATTGTTAACAGCTATTAAAGTGTTCCCCTTACGAGCAGTACCAGGAGTAATAAACAGTTTTAGTTTCAACGTCGTGGGGTAACAAAGATTCTATAATACGTAATTACCTGTTCAATCCCGGCAAAATACGCGCACATTTACTGTTTCTAAACCAAGTTATGAAGAACATTCCACAAATATAGTACGGTTCATGACCAGTAAAACGTACCTTAATCACAAGATGTAAGACTAAAGAGAAAGCTGGCGTTGTGAAGTCTCGAGACAGGTGACTATAGGTGTCACGTTCTCGTGCCTCGTGCTTGCTCTATTGTAAACAGCCAAACCCGAAACTTTACTGCAGTTATTACGCAGAATGTGAATTTTTCATAACTTGATTTAGCTATAAAAGTGTACTTAGAGTAATAAATAAAGCCGTGTTTTTTTTAAAAAAAAACAACAACTTCCATAATGCTTTTTGTAAAGTTAGGAGTTTTATTTAAAACAATTAAAGACTTTTATCTCATATAATTAATACCTGAAACCGTCGGTACTTCGTAAAACTCTGTAATTACAGTTTGACGTAAACAAAGACAATTGTTGGTTTCACAAATATTTCACTTATTACGACGATTGTTCGGCCCGGCATGGCCAGGTGGCGCTCGACTCGCATTCTGAGGGTCGCGGGTTCGAATCCCCGTCACACCAAACATGCTCACCCTTTCAGCCGTGGGGGTGTTATAATGTAACGATCAATCCCACTATTCGCTGGTAAAAGAGTAGCCCAAGAGTTGGCGGTGGGTGGTGATGACTAGCTGCCTTCCCTCTAGTCTTACATTGCTAAATTAGGGACGGCTAGCGCAGATAGCCCTCGTGTAGCTTTGCGCGAAATTCAAAACAAACAAGAAAGCTTGTTTTTCTTATCCCTTTTGAAAGTAATGTTGAACACCGAGAGACGCTATAGTAATAATGTTTGTTTGTTTTGATGTTAAGCCCAAAGCTTCATAACGGGCTATCAGTGCTGTTCCCTCAATGGGTATCGAAATCCCGATTTTAGCATTATAGCCACAGGGATAAAGTCACTTGAAAAAAACCACATAAAAATTGAAAAACTAACAAACACGAAATGCTTGTAAACTTAACAAGGCCTAACCTTGTTTAGGAGAAGGGAGGTAAGGTGTTTGAATAAAGAAATATCTTGTAAACTTAACAAGCCCTAACCTTGTTTAGGAGAGGGGGGAGTAAGGTGTTTGAATAAAGAAATATCTTGTAAACTTAACAAGGCCCAACCTTGTTTAGGAGAGGGGGGGAATAAGGTGTTTGAATAAAGAAATCTCTTGTAAACTTAACAAGGCCTAACCTTGTTTAGGAGAGGGGGGAGTAAGGTGTTTAAATAAAGAAATCTCTTGTAAACTTAACAAGGCCTAACCTTGTTTAGGAGAGGGGGGGGGAGTAAGGTGTTTGAAGAAAGAAACCCATCACTAGAAGTGGTTATTGGTCATTAGGGTGACTTTAGCTCTATATGTAGCAGAGATACTTTCTTATGATCTCATTGGATATTCTGGATATTTCATCTGTCAAAGTTTGTTTGCACACCACACGATGTTATGTCATTATTATGGGTTTTCAAAATAACCGTGGATTAAAGGAAAGTTGTTGAAGCTAAACCGTTAATACAGCAGGGTAACCCTGCTGTACAGCATAATTTGATATTTATTATGCAGGTTAACCCTGCTGTACAACATAATTTTATATTTATTATGCAGGGTAACCCTGCTGTACAACATAATTTGATATTTATTATGCACGTAACCCTGCTGTGCAGCATAATTTGATATTTATTATGCACGTAACCCTGCTGTACAACATAATTTGATATTTATTATGCAGGGTAACCATGCTGTACAGCATAATTTGATATTTATTATGCAGGGTAACCCTGCTGTACAGCATAATTTGATATTTATTATCATTAATTCCAACGACTAGTGTCTTTAGTAGAAAACATATTCAGTTAATAAATTTTGTGTTCTAACAAAAACAAACATAAAAAAACGTTATAATTTAGCCAAGTATAATCGTATATTACATACATACATAACCTATTATTATTGTTATACCAATAAATTTTTTGTTTGTTTTGGAATTTTCCTACAAGGCTGTACACGAGCTATCTTTGAATGGTCGTCTCTAATATCGAACTGATAGATTATTGGAAAAGCAGCTAGCCAACAGCGCCCACTACCAACTCTTGGGCCACTACTGTCCAAACAACTAATGGTATTTGACCGTCACTCTTACAGTGCATCCACAGACCTAAAGTACGGAGCGCGTTAAAGTGGCAACGGGACGAGAACCGTGAATTCTATTATTCTCAGTTTGGCACACTAACCACAAGGCCTTGCCGGCCCTATCTCAGTACACCTAGCGTCACCTGGGTTTTATAATCTTTCCTTTCTTTGCATGAAACTGAATATTGAACCTATACAGTGGTATTTGTTTTCATTATGTTATTGTATTAAGACGTTTGTTAAAGTGACACAAAGTAACATGTTGATATTGTTCCTTGTGGAATTTTTACTTTTACATTTTATCGAGTTTCTTTCAAGGCCCGTTAAGGTAGTGTATTTAACATGTTGGTATTGTTCCTTGTGGACTTTTCGTGTCAACATTTCATTGTCGCGTTTGGGTAACTAGTTTTGGTGTCAGAAGAATTCAAAATGTAGACATTGTTTGGAGTGTTACGTTTTGTCCTCGGTTCTTGGGTGCACGGGCCTATAAGTGATCTCATCTCTTGCGGATTTGTTTTTCCCCAGGGTAAAGTTGAGATCTAATTGTCGTCGTCCACGGGGTGTAAAGCGATCGGTCTTGCACGATGGACGACAGACAGTTCACGCCTCAGTCCTAGCAACGCGGGTGGGCTCTGCTCAGCTTATCTGCTCCCATCACTATCTTGGTCAGGAGATGGACAACTAAGCAGATAACGGAGGAAAGATTTGGATCAACCAGTTGGATCCTTAACCCTTGTTGGTGAGGAATTCGCACAAACGTCAGGCATTTATTTCTTCCCAAGAAGAATACAGTGAGAAAACAACATTTGATACCATCATCAACGTTCAAGGTTGCCAAGTCAGTCTGTTGTGTCACTGTTTACGGTGACCAGAGCCTTCTTCTGGGACCACGAACGAAACCACAATATCAATTACTTAGTAAATAGGCTAGGGTCGTTTTACTCTCAAATCAAGTGGCCATATCGTGCCACAAATTTAGGGTAAATATACTCTATTAGGAAAGAATGCCCTCCCCCTTCCACCACCACCAGTGGCTCAACTGTAAGACTGTAGGCTTATGATGCTAAAAAGTGAGCTTCAATACCCGTAGTAGACACAACACAGGTAGTCCATTGTGTATAACTAGGTTATAGTTGTTGTACCGTGATGTCATCAGGTTAACCTGATGAATCATTGTGGCTATAAATATTATAAGCTGTGTATACGATAACAAACCGGTGTTTCATTGGGACACTTCCGTTAGTTAATTAACATTTGTATGGACAGGTGTCGCTATACTCTTGAGCCGTAATCTCAAAAGGTGAGGGGCTATTTTATAATCTGAAAGTAAAATTTTATTGAATTATTCTCACACTTGAAAGTGTTACTCAGATTTTATCACGTTCCTTAAATTTCAGAATGTTCTATCAGTTTCTTTTTTTTTTTCTGTTTAGATCAACTTATTCTGTTATTCCACTTTTTACCGTCTATTTCTCACTCTATTCTCACCAGGTGAAAGTGTGGTTTCAAAACAGAAGGACGAAATACAAACGCCAGAAGCAGGAAGAAGAACAAACAGGCAAACATCAACAGGAACAGTCATCTTCACGTAGCTCAGAACCATCTGAAGACGTAACGGCTGCACACACCAGGTCCACAAAATCACGAGAGTCTCCAAACTTGGACTCTGACCACTCTTTTGATCCTGATCTTCTACCATCCTCTTCGCCTTCTAGGTGACTGGAGATGTTTCCTATACATGTGTTATAAACCTCCTCTTGTTATATAAAAAACTCCAGAGTGTCCAATGTTTTCCTCCAGTGTTCAAACGCGTCACGTACTGAAATAAACTTGAATGACTTGACCACTTCTTTGACTGAAAGGCAATCATATCGTATGGACGTTACTTGTAACCTTTATTAACTGCAGTGCTATTGTGGTACTATTATACACCAATAGAAAAATCCAATATGGCGGATGACTAGTTTCCGGTCTGTATATATATATATATACATATATATATGTGTGTGTGTGTGTGTAATAAAAAGCGCCCTACAGACTTATCATGATGTCCTTCGCAAAATTTAATGTGTATTAAACATCTTATATGTAAGTTGATGTTTACAGACTTACTGTTTTGGAGTTTATTTACATATTAGGAGTTATTTTTGGTTGTCGTAATCCAACAGGAATCTCATTTATCATCCAAGTTATTCGTAACTTTGTATTTTTTTTATGACAGAATTAAGTATAGCAATGTGTTATAGCTTTATTTACTACTTTTTTTTTCTGTATCAGATCCTTGCCCATAGATGGCGGAAGTAATTTCAGTAAACCTATAATACCTTCACAAAACATGGTTGTTATGTATGCTGTAAACCCATTATTGTGCAATGAAACAAAATATCAGAAAATGATTAACTTTTTGTTCTTGAAACTGTGAATGAAAATCAATAAAAAACATAGTAACAATAAATCCGTTTTATTCATTTGAATTCACAACGAATTCTATCAGTTCTATCATTAATGATTAAACTGAAATAGGTATCCCCAGTAGACTTGAATAACTTTAAATACACGTTTACTTAGTAAAAAACATTAATGATAGAACTGATTAAACTGAAATAACAATTTAAAATTGATTTGAATAAACATATTACTGAATAAATCATTAGTATATCTAAGTTGAGATAAACAGTCAGTATGTGTTACGTATTCAATATATAATTAAAGAATTAACGCATTGGATTTTAGGGCTAAGCTATAGAACAGATTGTATGTGCTCTGTTCACCGTGAGGGACTCGAACTCAGGATTTTAAATCAGGAAACGTACCACCGACCTACCACTGGAGGAATTAATTAATATAAATATGATGATGTAAGTTTAGGCCTAACAATTTAGCTAGTATAATCATATAAATATGATGATGTAAATTTAGGCCTAACAGTTTTGCTAATATAATTATATAAATATAATGATGTAAAGGCTTCAAGTTTAGGCCTAACAATTTCGCAAGTATAATTATAACATATACTATTTAACGTGAATAGCATTGATTGGTTTAGGATGTTTGAAGGTCAGTGTTCTTACTTAATTACTGACATTCAGTTGAAAAAAAAAATGTTAGTAAAGTTTGTTATCTTGTTTCAGAACGTTGCAGAATCAAAAAATTATTTTCTTAAATAAGCTCGAATGTTCTTATTATTTTGCTTGTGATGTCACGTAAACAATGCTTTAAAGCTATTACAAACAGTTTGCAAGTTAGTGTAGACTGCCCCTCCCCGACTTCAGCTTTCTTTTGTTCTGCTTCCTTCTCAGGTTTCGTGAGGTACAAACCCCGAATAGAGTCTTTCTAATGGGCTCGATAATAAGTCGGAAAAAAAAAAGATAATATTGGGTTCTCCAATTACATTTGTCGGAACCTTGAGATCTTAAATCATTACAATCGATCGAGAGTTACTTAACATTGTTATGCTAAGATTGATCTTGTTGTAAGAGAAATGTAATGTTGTTAAACGTCATTTTTAAGGGCCGTGTACCGATTTCGCGGAATAACATTTTTCACAAAGTGATGTCAATCACTGGGGTAAAGCGGCCTCTTCGAAATTCTAAAGACGAGATTCGAAAGAACAAAATAACCTTTGTGAGGTCCACTTGTTGAGTGAGTAGGTAAGGTCAACGCAAAGGTTGAAACTGCTATTCAAAAAGGAATGCGTGCAGACTTAATCCCATTGGATAATTAAGTCAAACCTCAAAATGGACCAACATAAATAATTTGTTTGTTTGCTTTCCGCCGTGTTCACCGCGGGGAATCGAACCTTGGATTTTAGCGTTGTAAGTCCGTGGCCTTACCACTGTCTCAATAGGGGGGGGGACGAATTGACATAAGACTTATCAATATATTTAGCACAAAGATACAGCTGCTGGTTTTATGCAACTTTTATGTGGAACGTTCGTAAAGTTTACATAATGTTTGCGTTTGCGCACTAAGAAGGATGCGACATGCCATTTTCAAAGTGTTCGTGATCACGTTTTCCTCTTCTCAATCACAATTGGTGTGTTAGTCCAGAAAGATACATCACCAAATAATTGTTTGTTTTTACTTTAAAAATTGATGGTAATTTCTTAGACCTGATTGTGTCTGTCCAAACTTTTGGTTCAAAATGAGTCAACCCCCCCCCCCTTTCTCGTGAGTTAAATTTT